TATGAAGCCCAAGGTTTCTATTAGCTTTATGCGAACATTTAAATGCACGTTGTCTTGGTTTCAGATTACTGCTAACCAGAACTCCTAAATCTTTTTCGCAACCCGTAATATTAAGATCTACATTATTTAGTTTATATGTGGCATGGTTATTGTCCTGTCCAACATTTAGAACTTTGCATTTGTCTATATTAAACTGCATCTGCCACTTCTCCGACCACTGCATCAGTCTTTTCCCAAATCTTCCTGGAGTGCTCGAATGTCCTCGTCAGAATGAATTTGACGGCCTTTTTTGGTGTCATCGGCAAACTTGCCGATGTCGCTCTTTATGCCCTCATTTATGTCGTTTATGTAGATTGTGAACAGCAGGGGGCCCAACACTGACCCCTGTGGACACCGCTCGTGACACTTCCCCACTTGATTTCTCCCCATTTATGCAAACTCTCTGCTGCCTATTTGTCAACCATGCCCTATCCAGGAAAAAATTTTCCTCCTTTTTCCATGTGCTTTAATTTTCCTCAATAGTCTCTGATGTGGGACCCTGTCAAAACCCTTACTGAAGTCCATATACACAATATCATATTCATTACCATGTTTCTACCTCCTCAAATACCTTAGTGAAAAAAGTTAATAAATTCGTTAAGGCAGGAACGCCCTTTGTAAAACCATGCTAAAGATTCGTTGATTAATTTATGCTTTTAAAGGGTGGCTACGAACTGCCTCGGCAATTATTGATTCCCATAAATTTTCCCACTATGGAGGTTAGGCTTATTGGTCTATAGTTCGAAGCTAAGGACCTGTCACAACAACCTTTTTTTGAAAATAGGTATCACATTTGCCATTTTCCACTTATCTGGCACCATGCCAGTTTGTAGTGATATTTGAAAAGATTACCCAAAAGGGTTTGTGCTAAGCTCCTCTTTTCATTCCTTTAGAACCCTTTGATACAGTTCATCAGGGCCTGGGGATTTGTTAGGTTTTAATTTATCTATTTGCCTAAGGACCAGTCCTTGTGACCTAATAGTGCACAGTTATTATCGTCCTGTTCTACATAATTTATCATTACTGGAATATCGCTGGTATCCTCCTGTGTAAAAACTGAGGGGAAAAGTATGTGTTAAAAATTCTAAAACATTTCCTTATCACTGTCAGTGAGCTGACCCGAGGAAACTTTTGAGTGGGCCTATCTTGTCCCTGATCTTACTTCTGTATCCCTGAAAGAATCCTTTTGGGTTAGTCTTCGATTCTCTTGCAACTTTAACCTCATAATCTCTTTTTGCTTTTCAAATTTCCCCTTTTTTATTTCTCTCTTTAACTGAATATATCGATTTCTCAATTCCCCCTCTCCTCTTTTGATTTGCCTATATATGCCTCTCTTTTGACCAATCAGATATTTTAATTCTATTGTTCATCCATTTAGGATCATTTTTGTTTGATCTGATTTCCCTATTTGGAACATAATTTGACTGAGCAGCTAGAACTATCCCCTGGAAAGCATCTTATCGGCAACCATCACCACCTACCTGACCCTTAGTCAGGTCATTCCAGTTCAGCCAACCTAAGTAATTTTTCAGTCCTATGAAATCAGCCAAGCAAAAAGTCAGGGACGGAGACTTGTTTGCCATTATTAGGGGAATTTCCCAAATGATATTTTTAAAACTGAGTGATTTGTGATCACTTTCCCAAGCTCATCATTAACCTCAAGATTATTAATTAGTGTTTCCCTACTGGCAAGAACCAAGTCAAGGAGGTTTTTTCCCCCTAGTTGGCTCTGTCACAAACTGTTTTAAAAAACAATCCTGGATCGTATCAAGAAAGCCCACCTGACTCTAAATTTCCTGTCAAATTTGCTCCAGTAAATCTGTCTATAGTTGAAATCTCCCATTAGCACAACATTTTCGTATGTAGATGCCTTACGAATTTGTCCCATGAAGTTTACTGCACTCCCTATCAAGATTTTGGGGGCCCCGTAAATCACACCCAAAATCAGTTTTTCTCGGCCCTCGAGAAGCTGTAACAAACAGATTCAGTGGCTGACGCTTCTAATTTAATATCTTGTCTAACACAACAATTTAAATTGTCTCTGACTACATCGCCACTCCACCACCTTTCCTGTTGACCCTGTCAGTGTGGAACAATTTTAGCCCTTTTATGTGACATTCAGAGGGCATCTCTCTATCTTTCAGATTGAGGGCCCGGGTTCTCTGTTATAGCAATAATATCTATGTTTCCTGCACTTGCAATTAATCTTAGCTCATCTATCTTATTTTCTTTCACTCTGCTATTAGTATAGTAAACCTTAAGGGACTAGTCCCTTGCTGCCCTCTGCTGTCCCCCTTTGTTTGCTGACCTGATCTATTGGGCTTTATTTATAACTTCATGCTGAATGCCTTTTTTACATTTACCGTTTCCAAAACCCCAAATGTTGCAACCTGCTTGTTTCCCACACACACCCATACCTCTATCTTCCATCAGTTTAAAATCATAGGCATTTCACCAATGGCCTTTTCAATCGAGTCTGCAAGTGCTACCACCCCAGCCCCAGAGGATGTACCCATCCCTTGCATACATATCATGTTTGCCATAAAGTTGTTCCAGTTGTCAGTGAATGGGAAATTTCAAGTTCCTTGCAGTATCTGTCTAGCCAGCAATTTACACCAATTGGCCCTAGACAACCATTCATTTCCTACTCCCCTTCTAGGCAAAATGCTACATATGATTGGGATCCCTCCCTTAGACTTAATGAAATCTATAGTGACCTGTTTCTTATCTAGCAGCTTTCTCTCCTACCCTTCCCAATATCATTTCCACCAGCACTGAGACAGATAATGGGCTTGTTCCCATTACCTGACATGATATTATTAGCTGTTACTGTCCCAACACAGCCAGGGAAATTACTCCCACCTCTTTCCCCTTTAAAAAAACAAAAGGGTTTTCTATGGGCACCAACCAAGTTATTCTTCTACTCCATTTAAACATGCAGTTACCTTAGTTAAATGGCCTTTTAAATTTTAAAAATTTTTCCCGGAAAATTCAAGAAATAAACGAGAAAGCCATTTTATTAGATTTCATCTTAATTGTTTCAAATCTATGGTTCATTTATAAACCCTGAGTAAGGCGGTTTATCACCAATTTCGGCCGTTGAACCCAAATTTCCCCAACCCAGCCCAACACACTCTTTTCCACTTTTTTTCCTTTCAAAAACCTCTAATCTTCCTGGAGAACCCCAAAAACCTTCCTCCTTCAACTTTCCAACCTTTAATTTTTAAAACATCTCCCGAAGACAAAAGTTTGGGGGCACCTACTTGGGCCACTTAAACTTTTTTTCTTAAACGAAATTTTCCTTTGTAACTGCCATTGCATGTGGGCCGACCTACCTGAGTTTCATTACCCAAAATAACCATACCTTTAAATTGGGTTACTTACCTTTCCTAATTCTCGAGACAAACTTCCCAACCCTACCTCATTTTTAAAATCGAAATCAAAATTTGGGGGCTCCCGCCCAAGATTGGGGAATGTAAATATTTTAAAGATATTAAACTAACTAATTATTAACTTTGAAATTGTAAACTTATTATTTTATTTTAGCCCTACTTGATGAGATAAATTTGGCCCCACCGGAAATTGTAATTTTTAACTTTGGGATACCGCCAGGTTTGGGGTTTGGTGTTAAAAATTTTAATTTGTCTTTTTTGTGAAATGACCAAAATTACAGTTACCCCCAACGGTTATTTGTTTATTCAAATCGTCCTGTGTCTAATAATTTTAATTTTCTATTTGCCTAGGACCATCCCAGTTTAAAAATCGTTAAGGAAGTTTAAAATTTTAATTTCTAATTTTCCCTTAGTACCTCCTGAGTAAAATAGTGGGAATTTGTTTCAATTTACTTCTGTTAATCCTGACGAGACCTTTTGGGAATCTTTGTCTCTTTTCCTTATACCAAAACCTTTTGGGTTTTCTTATCCCCTTTTTTTTTTTTCTTTTTTAACCTAATTTTATTATTTTCTTAAACTTTTTTTCTTATGATTTCCCTTTATACCTTTCCTCTATTTTGTACAATGAGATGTTTTAATCTATTGTTCATCCATTTGGGATCATTTTTTTTAGATCTAATTTCCCTACTCGGAACAAAAGTTGTCTGGGCAGCTAGAACTATGCTCTGAAAAGCGTCATATTGGCAACCAACACCACCTACCTGACCCATAGTAAGGTCATCCCAATTTAGCCCACCCAGGTAATTTTTCAGTCCCATGAAATCGGCCAAGCAGAAGTCTGGGACAGAGACTTGATTGCAGTTATCTGGGTAATTCCATGATATATTGAAATTAAGTGATTTGTGATCGCTTTCCTCAAGCTCATCATTAACCTCAAGATTATTAATTAGTGATTCTTTGTAGTACAATAATGAGGTATTAAAAGAACCCCAATGGAAATAAGTCACTGACTTTTTTGGGGTTATCCTAGGTTCTCTACACATGTGCTGCTATGTATGATAGTCTATGTAACTGTATTTGTGTATACCTGAATAAACTTACCCTAAGTTGCCCAAAATGCTCTAATGTCAGCTGGGTCTTTAATAGTTGTATTATGTAATTGTAGAAATAAAGATTATTATCATTAATAACAACAACAACAATAATAATAATTATAATAATCGTTATAATTATAATAAGTATTATAATAATAATAAATTATTATTATTATTATTATTATTATTATTATTATTATTATTATTATTATTATTATTATTATTATTGCGTAAATAACCTAGGATAACCCAAAAAAGGTAAAATAGCGTGACATTTTAGGAATCCCATTAGTCATAATTGGCATAAATGAGAATTACTGTTCCCGTATCTTTCTCCGGGAGAAAATTTTGTTTCCTTTGTAATTCTCTCTCTGTTAAAAATTGAACAAAATCATATCTTATCTTAACATTTTTTTTTCCTGGACTCTAATGAAATAGGTCTCAATAAAGTATAAACTTTAGTGGCCCTTGAGAACCCCAACAACAACAACAAAATAGTCTGTACTCCTCACATTGATTTTAATCGATTTAAAACTCCAACTATTTTAAATGTTATCCATGTTTCCTACTATGAGGTACTAATTTTGTAGAGTGAATGTTATTTACTAGGCTGAACTGTAGTTTTATGTGGTATATTGTATTATGAGCGCTTGCGCAGACAGAGAGGCGCCTCACACCCACCGCAGCTTCGATCTTGGCTCAGACTACTTTGTTTGACAACATTACCTCCAGGTGTCTGGTTGCTGGCAGGTAGTACAGCATACTACCACTATCATCACTCGCATTACCTCCAGATGTCTGGCTGTTGGCAGGAAGTGCAGCATACTACCACCATCATTCACACCACTGCACAACATTACTTCCAGGTGTCTGGCTACTGGCAGGTAGCTCAGCACACTACTACCATCATCACTCACACCACTGTACAACATCTATGCATCTGGCTGCTGGATGGCCTGATACTACAATACTTGTTTACCACCACACACACCACTTCTCACACTGCATCACACCACACCATGTGATGGTGTGGTGTGATCAAGCCATCACTCACACCACTACTCACACCACTCCTCACACTCCACTCCTCACACTCCACTCCTCACACTCCACTCCTCACACTCCACTCCTCACACTCCACTCTCACATTCCACCCTCACACACCACCCCTCACACACCACCCCTCACCACACCACCCCTCACACCACACCTCTCACACACCACCCCTCACACACCACCCCTCACACACCACCCCTCACACACCACCTCTTACACACACTCATGCACCCCTCACACACTCCCTCAACACCACCCTCTACAACACCACCCCTCACACACACCCCTCACACACACCCCTCACACCCTACCCCTCACACACCACCACCCCACACACCACCCCTCACACACCACCCCTCACACACCACCCCTCACACACCACCACCCCTCATCACACACACCCCTCACACACCACCCCTCACACACACCAAACCCCCTCACACCACCCCTCACACACCAACCCCTCACACCAACTCACACACACCCTCACACACACCCCTCACCACCACCCCTCACACCACCACCCCCCACACACACCCCTCACACACCACCCCTCACACACCACCCCTCACACACCACCCTCATGCACCACCCCTCACAACACCACCCCTCACACACAACTCTCACACACAACCCCTCACACACAACTCACAACCCCTCACACCACCACTCCTCACACACCACTCACCACTCCACTCACACACTGCCACTCACACACTGCCACTCACACCATGCCACTCACACACTGCCACTCACACACTGCCAACTCACACACTGCCACTCACACACTACCACTCACACACACCACACACACACACCACCACCACCACACACCACCACCACACACACCACCACACACACACACCACCACCACACACCCACCACCACACACACCACCACACACACCACCCCCACACACACCACCACCACACACACCACCACCACACACCACCACACACACCACCACCCACACATCACCACCACACACCACCACCCCAACATCACCATCACAACCACCCACCACCACACACACCACCACAGTCACTCACCACCACACACACCACCACCAGTCACTCACCACCTCTCACACACCATCAGTCACACCACCACTCACACACCATCAGTCACACCACCACTCATACACCATCAGTCACACCACCATCACACACCATCAGTCACACCACCACTCACACACCATCAGTCACACCACCACTCACACACCATCAGTCACACCACCACTCACACACCATCAGTCACACCACCTCTCACACACCATCAGTCACACCACCACTCACACACCATCACTGACACCACCTTTCACACCACCTCTCATCTACATCACTACTTCTATCTCCTCTGTATTTTGACTCCTCTGTGTTCTCTCTATTTTGACAAAATGCTTTGCCTGCTCAGCAGGCAAAGCATTTCATCAATAAAGATACCAAACTGTTGCATGTGTCTTATTTACTTTGTGGTATTGTATGCCATTAATATAATGATTTATGAAATTTTGAGGCTTGCATAATAATTTGGGATAACATTTGTATTGGTCAACACTGAGGTTGAACATATTTTTGGTTAATACACATGTTGAAACAGATTGGTAATAGTGAGAACATAAGTTTGAATGCTGATATGATTTGGATCAACAGGGTTGCTAGTGATATATAAGGCTTTAACATTATTTACCTATCAGAGTTTAAGTCAGACTTAGGAGGTGCTTGTTAACTACATTTTTGAAGCAGTTGGTAGAAACGAATTCCAAATTTTAAGGCTGTTTATTTCCATGGAGTTCCTGTATAGGTTAAGTCAGACACATGGTATATATCAAAATGACACCTAATTCTTGTACATTGTGTCTATTTGCTCTGTTACAGCTCTCCAGGAAGAGAGTGCTGGGTTGAAGTTTGTTTTAAATGTCCTTTATATATGAAATGCACAGTATGAAGTGGGGGTGTGTTGCTTGTTGAGTAAATTGACACTTTTGAATGGTGGAAGTGTGTGTTTTCTAGAATTTGATTAGGTTATTATTCTTTCAGCTGATATCTATTGAATAAAATGGGTTTTAGGTGGTTTGCTGTAGTAGATCCCCAAGCACAAATAAAATACCAGTAGGTGAGGTAAGAATGGATTAGGGAGTAGTACAGATTGAGTAATGTTGGCTGTGGAACAAGGTACCATATTTTTGTTAGAATGCCCATAGTTTTGGAAATTTTCTTCAATATGTTTTGGATGTGAATGTTGAATTTCAGGCCACAGTCAGGGTGTAGCCTTAAGAAATTTCTCTTACCTTGTTTTTCTGTGTGAATTATTTATTTTTTATGTTGAAATGGGTATTTTTTTAGCTTTATTCCCAAATATTGTGTAGAAGGTCTTGTCAATACTGAGAGTAAGTTTGTTGGTTGCCATCCAGGTAGAAATTTGTTCGAGCTCCTTATTGACTGTGTTGTTGGGGACAATAGAATCTCGATTAGATATGGCAAATGTTGTATCATCTACAAACAGGACTGGTTTAAATTCCTGGGAGGCATTTGGTAGGTCACTGATGTAGATGAGGAATAATAGGAGGGCAAGGATGCTACCCTGAGGCAACCCTGTGTTGATAGTCTGTGTTAATGAGGTAGTATTGATTTTCACAAGCTGATGTCTATTGATGAGGTAGAATTTTATGTAGGTGAAACCATGCCCTCTGATACCATAATGCTCTAGTTTCAACAGCAAGATGTTATGGTTTAGTGTCAATTTTTTTCTTAGATCACTAAAGTGATGTGAATTAGAGCACAGTATTGTGAAATCATCTAGAGATTACATATGAAAGGTGCTTGGAAAATATAGTACAGTTCAGGATATTGAAATGTGAGATGAGAGGTACAATAGAGAAGAACATCTTGCATATTTTAATAAGATTTTGAATGAAAATGAGAGAGGAAAAAAGTAAAATCTATTAAATTGTAGGAAATTAGGGCTAGAGGATAGTAATAAAAGTCAATTCATGATTTAATAACAAAAATTAATTCCGTCAAGATATAAAGGTATACAGTGGAACCTCAGCTTACGAACTTAATCCATTCCGTGACCTTGTTAGTATCCTGATTTGTTCGTATGCTGAGTCAATTTTCCTCATTTAAATTAATTGAAAAGCCAAAAATCCGTTCCGGCGGAATTCCTACTCTCAGAGGCAGGAAAAATACACTTCAATATACGTAACTCTAATATCAATTGTACGGCTTATTTATCTATGATCTAATATGACATAATAAGCAATATAAGTAACATAGAAACCTGATATATATACAGTGGACCCCCGAGTTTCGTGATTAATCCTTTCCAGAGAACCTGCCGAAAGTCGAAATTCACGAAACTCAAAACCATTTTCCCCATAAGAAATAATGGAAATAAAATTAATCCGTTCCAGACACCCAAAAATATTAAAATAAAATATTTTTTTCAAATTAAATAAAGATTTATATACTGAAATCAATGAGAAATCAAGTACAGTGGACCCTCGACTAACGCTATTAATCCGTTCCTGAGAGCTCATAATAAAGATATTAATAAAGATATTAAACTAAAGTGTGTGTGTGTGTGTGTGTGTGTGGTGTGTGTGACTCAACAATCAATATTTGCACCAATAACTCACTACAGTTGTGACCGGGTGTGGAAGTGTGAATTGCTCATTACACTATAATTTGTTCGTGATTGTAGCCATGTATAAACGTAAGTAACCATTCTACAGAATTCATTACCTTTGTAACTTGTGAGCTCATTACCTTTGTACCTAGTTCAGCTATCAAAACTTTGGGGGCCCAGTCCCTGGACCCATTACGTACCTCTGTAATCTGTAAATACCTTTGTAACTTGTCATGATTGTGACCAGACTTACCTGGAGTTCATTACCTTTGTAATTTGTGAGTTCATTACCTTTGTAAATTGTGAGTTCATTACCTTTGTAAATTGTGAGTTCATTACCTTTGTAAATTGTGAGTTCATTACCTCTGTAACTTGCTCAGCTATCAAAACTTTGGAGTCCAGTCCCTGGACCAATTATGTACCTCTGTAATCTTTTGACTACCGCCCACAGGATGGGTATGGGGTGCATAATAAACATATTAAACTAACTAAAACTGAGAGCTCATCGTTAGTCAAAATTATCGTTAGTCAAGTTAATTTTCCCCATAAGAAATAATGGAAATCAAATTAATCCGTGTAGGACACCCCAAAGTATGAAAAAAAAATTGTTTTTACCACATGAAATATTAATTTTAATACACACAAGCTGAAGAAGGCATGCACAGTTACATGACACTTACCTTTATTGAAGATCTGGTGATGATTGATGGGATGGGAGGAGGGGGGAGTGTTGATGGTCTTAGTGTTTAGAAGGGGAATCCCCTTCCATTAGGACTTGAGGTGGCAAGTCCTTTTCCAGGGTTACTTCCCT